CATCAAGCATTGGTGCTCTTGCCAAGCTTAAAAACTTGGATCTGTCTAGCAATGACCTGAACGGATCTATCCCAACATCCCTAGGTGATTGTACTACACTAACTTCCATAGATCTCTTTTACTACTATTTTTTCTACCATGACTGGTACAATAGCAAGACTAGGGAATTTTATGAGCCTTTCCACTTTGCAGATTTGCCCCATCTTAACAATTTGAACCTTGACAACAACCTCCTCTCGGGCAAAATCCCATCAAGCATTGGTGCTCTTGCCAAGCTCGAAAACTTGGATCTATCCTTCAACATTCTTAATGGATTGATTGGAAGCATAGGAAATCTAACGAATTTATATTACCTAGATCTTTCCAACAACCAGATCACGGGTTCCATTGGAAGCATAGGAAATCTAACAAGTTTAGAATTCTTGGATCTTTCAAATAATCAAATAAATGGTTCCATCCCTTCGACATTCTCGAAATTGATCTCTGTTAGAACACTATCACTTAAGTCCAATCAGCTTAATGGAATGTTACCGCCAGAATTAGGATCTCTTGTTCTTCTCTCACATATGGATCTAAGTAGAAATCAATTTTCAGGAAGTATTCCACCTCAGATTGGACATTGTCACTCTTTATCATCGTTACTCCTATCAGACAACTTATTGACAGGACAGATACCACAAGAATTTGGGTATCATGCCAACCTAAATGAGCTTGATTTGAGTAAAAACCATTTAAGCAGTGCCATCCCAGCGACTTTTTCTGTTTCTTACCAACTATGGAAGCTGAATTTATCATATAATAATTTGGATGGCAGAGTTCCATTTATCGCTGCCACCTTGATCTTACTTGACCATAATACGGGCTTATGTGGTGATTTGTATGGCTTAACTCCATGTGAAACACCGAAGCTCGACATGGAACACCAAAAAAGGAAAAATCCAAGTATGGTACTTCTTGCTCTTTTTGCACCCTTTTCATTTGCTTGCCTCTCAACTGTAAGCATCACGATCGTCTGTCGGAGAAGAAAGGATGTAAAAAGTACAAGCAAATGCAAGTCTGGAGATATACTTTCCATATGGAATTTTGATGGAAAGATTGCATTCGAAGACATCACCAACGCAACAGAAAATTTTGATGAGAAATATTGCATTGGTGTTGGAGGATACGGATCTGTCTTCAGAGTTCATCTTGAAGACGGGATTATCTTTGCCGTCAAGCTCCTTCAGTCAATGGAAGAATACAACGACGAGAGAACATTTCATGCCGTGATTGAAGTGTTGACAAAAATCAGGCACCGATGCATCGTCAAGCTATATGGCTTCTGTTCCCACTCCCAGTACAAATTCCTCGTGTATGAGCTTATCGAGAGGGGAAGCTTATCATCCACTATGCACGAGCAAGAGCTAGCGAAGGAGCTGGATTGGCCCAAGAGAGTTTCTGTTGTGGTGGACGTAGCTCAAGCTCTCTCCTACTTGCACCATGATTGCGGCGATCCAATCGTGCACTGCGACATAAAAAGCAGCAACATTCTTCTGGACCTCGATTATAAGGCTTATGTTTCAGACTTTGGCATGGCGAGGAAACTGAAGCATGGTTATTCAAGCTGGAGCACTATTTTTGCAGGCACATGTGGCTACATAGCCCCTGGTACTTACATGGGCTTAATCCAATTTTTTCTTTTTTTATGAAATGTGATTCGGAAAAAGAGAAGAAGTATAATTTCTGATCTGATATAGAGCTGATTTTGTTTCTTGTTACAGAGCTGTCATCTACCATGGTGTTGACTGAGAAGTGCGACGTGTACAGCTTCGGCGTGGTTGCGCTGGAAGTTTTGATGGGAAAGCACCCAGGTGATCTGCTCCTTCCATTCTTTTGCCGAACAAAGCAGCTGGGGAAGTTCAATGATGTTCTGGATCGACGTGTCGCAGCACCGTCAACTATTGACGAGGAGAAGGATGTCATTTTGGTTACCTTGGTGGCCTTTGCTTGCCTGCAAGTCAATCCCAAAGCCCGGCCAACAATGCAGCAGGTATATCAGGCACTGACAAATAGAAATCACCCAGCGTTCATTCCCAGGCCCCTTCATGAAATCAGGCTACAAGATTTGCATGATTATTGTGGTGCCATAAAGAATATATGAATTGATATAGGTAGCCTACAGTGTCAGCAGTTACATATTTGGCATGTGTTTGTTTGAGATAACGTTCCTATCCTGTCATGTTGAACTTTGAAGTGTCATGCATGCATGCGCCTCCCCAAGAAGGCTGTTGTGTGAGTGTTTTTTTTTGCT